TCTCTGGGCCTTCTTGGGAGTCCTATTGCGGCCCTTTTGGATCCCTTTTGAGGGCCTCTTGGGGGCCTCGTGTGGGCCTCTTGGGGCGTCTTGGGGGGCTCTTGGGGCTTCCTGGGAGCTTCTTGGGGCGAAAGGCTAGACTTTTCGGTTCGTGGCCCCCCTCTTGGGGCCGTCTTGGGGCCCTCTTGGGCCGTCTTGGGCGCCCTTTGGGCCGTCTTGGGGCCCTCTTGGGCCGTTTTGGGTGCCGCTCGGGAGCCTTTTGGGCAGTCTTAGGGCGGTTTGGGGGGCCTCTTGGGCCGTCGTCAACGCCGTGAAAGCCGAAAAACCGTAGATGCTAAAAATGCAAGCGTTCCTGAGGAGTCATCAATGATTTGGGCCTCTTGGGGCCCTCTTGGGACGCCTTTTGGGCGCCTCTTGGGGCGTCTTGGAGGCATCTTGGGACGTCTTGGGGCTGTCTTGGGCGGTCTTGGGCTCTTCAGGGACGGAAAGGAGAACCCGAAAAACATACAAAAACCCTAGGGAAAACCCGAAAACGGCCATTAACACTCATCCCTACGCCCCACCCCCTTCCCCTGGACCCCTCCCTGGAGGGCTTCGCCCAAACACAACGTCATCACTCGTACCTCGATCTTTCCGTTACCTGGGCCGGCACGGGAACGGAAAGAGATCTTCAGCAACCTGCCCGAGATGGCTCATGGCACCCTTCGCTCTTGGGAGCCGTGGTGGTAAGAGCTCGTTGCGTCACCGCTCGTTCTTGGGAGCCTTGCTGGCAATCGCGTGTTACGTCACCGCTGTCTGTTGGAAGCCTTGCTGGAAAGAACTTGTTGCGTCACCGCTCTCTGTTCAGAGTCCTCGTGCCCAGAGATGCTTACGTTGCCGCTCGCTCTTGGGAGCCTTGGTGGTAAGAGCTTGTTGCGTCACCGCTCGCTCTTGGGAGCCTTGATGGCAAGCGCGTGCTACGTCACCACTCTCAATTGGGAGCCTTGCTCCTCCTCCTCCTCCACCTCCTCTTATTGTTATTCGTATTAGTGTTATCCTTATTATTATTACTATTATCCTTCTCCTCCGCCTCCTCCTCTGCCTCCTCCTACTCCTCGTGCCTCTTTCTCCTCCTCCTCCTCCTCCTCCTCTTCCTCCTCCTCTTCCTCCTCCTCCTGACTCCTTCTCCTTCTCCTCCTCCTCCTCCTTCTCCTCCTCCTCCTCTTCGTCCTCCTCCTGCTCCTCCATCCTCATCCTCCTCCTCCTTCTCCTCCTCCTCATCATCCTCTTTTTCTTACTAGCGTTCAGCTTAGCATGATGTTTCGTCGTATGATTAAAAAGTTTCGTCGTAGTATTCTTAATCGTATTAGTATTTTTCTTCTTAGCATTAGTATTAACAGTATTATTATGAGTCTCATTGTTATTAGTATGTGTGATATTATTCGAAGTATTGAGATTAGTAGTCGTATAGGTATTGTTCGTTGTATTCGTATTAGTACACTTCTCAATCGTATTCTTAATCATGTTATCAATGCTGTTCATGTTCGTCCTTCCCTCCTTGTTATTATTACTACTAATGTTAATAATAGTGTTCGCAGTACGAATATGTGTATTATTGCTATGATTCCCTACCTAGGCTCTGCCTTGAAGCGTTCTTACTCTCTTCGCTTAAAGGGGCCGGGCAGTGTAATGCGCCCCAGGCGGTTCCCCCGGTCCCCTGGGAGCCAAGCAAAAGCAACAGCAAAGGTAAGAGCAAACGCGCGGTTCCCCCAGTTGCGCTCCCTGGGTGCCAAGCAAAAGCAAAAGCAAAGGCAAAAGTGAAGGCAAAAGCGAAGGCAAAGCAAAAGCATAGCATAGCATAGCATAGCAGAGCAGAGCAGAGCAGAGCAGAGCAGAGCGCAGCATAGCATAGCGCAGCATAGCATAGCATAGCATAGCATAGCCTAGCCTAGCCCATCATAGCATTGCGCAGCATAGCATAGCATAGCATAGCATAGCATAGCATAACATAGCATGGCATAGCATAGCATAGCATAGCATAGCATAGCGCAGCACCGCATCCACTATTGCTGTTAGATAAATATATATATATATATATATCTATACATATATATATATGTGTGAGTACTTATATGTGTGTGGTGCGCACGTATGTTCCATGCATGTTGTCCGTCTGTGGGCCATCTTGAGCCCTTTGTGGGGCAGCTTGAGCTCCTGCTACAACTACGACGCTGAGGAGAAGGAGGAGGACGGCGTTTACCGCTCCTACTAATGTTGCTTTCCTAGAGGCTCCAACTCCTAGGTAGGGTCGCACTGGGATAATTGTTTGTATTATTCGTATGCTTACTCCTCCTCCTCCTCATCCTCCTCCTCCTCCTCCTCTTCCTCCTCTTCCTCCTCCACCTCCTCCTCTTCCTCCTCCTCCTCCTCATCCTCCTCCTCCCTCGTCCTCGTCCTGTTCCTCCACCTGTTTTTTTCCTCGTCTGTATCCTACTCCTCTTTCTCCTCCTTCTCCCTCCTCATCCCCTCCTCCTCCTCCTCCTCCTCCTCCCTCCTCCTCCTCCTCCTCCCCCTCCCCTCCTCTCCCTCATCCTCCTCCTCATCCTCCTCATCCTCCTCCTCCTCCTAATCCTCCTCCTCCTCGTCCTCCTCCTCCTTCCTCCTCCTCCTCCTCCTCCCCCTCTTCCTCCTTATCCTTCTAGCTCCCTTCCTCCTCCTCCTTTTCCTCCTCCTCTCCTCCTCCACCTCCTTCTCCTCCTCCTCCTCCCTCTCCTCCTCTTCCTCCATATCCTCTTCCTCTTCCTCTTCCTTCGACTCCTCCTCCTCCTCCACCTCCTCTCCTCCTCCTCCTCCTCGTCATCCTCCTCTTCGTCATCCTCCTCTTCGTCTTCCTCCTCTTTCCTCCTCCTCCTCCTCCTCCTCCTCCTCCTCCTCCTCCTCCTTCTCCTTCTCCTCCTCATCATCCTCATCATCATCATCCTCCTCCTCCTCCTCCTCCTCCTCCTCCTCCCCCTCCTCCTGGGGCTCGCTTGGGAGCCTTTTGGGACCCTCTTGGGGCTCTATTGATGCCGTCGGGGGGCCTCTTGGGCCGTCTTGTGAGGCCTTCTTGGGCCGTCTGGGGGCCCTCTTGGACCGTTTCCGCCCTTTGAGGCGCCTCTGGGGCCATCTTGGGATATTTGGGGCCTCTTGGGCTGTCTGGGGCCCTTCTGGGACTGAAAAAGAGAAAACCCGAAACAACTGCAAAAACTTTAGGGAAATCAGTGATTCGGGCCTCCTGAGGCCCTCTCGGGCTGCCTTCTTGAGGGCCTCTGGAGCCGTCTCGAGACTCTCTTGGACCGTCTGGAGGCCATCTGAAGCTCTCTTGGGCCCGTCTTGGGGCCCTCTGAAGCCGTTTTGGGGCCCTCTTGGGTCGTCTTGGGGCCCTTGGGCCGCGTCACTCGAAGAAATACAAGGAAACGGGCCACGGGAGCCGCCCGGGAGCCGTTTCAGTCAAAAGAACAATGGAAAAGGGCAACTAGACTTTTGCTTAGGTAGTGCTCGGTCCTTTTGAAAGCCTTCTACTGGGCCCTCGGCCCAACCCGCTGGTCACCCGGAAGGAATCACCCGGAAGGACGCGCAAGGACGCCGAGTGATCGGAAAAACCGGAAAACTCGCCTCCACAAGGACCCGTAAACTTCCCAGGACGTCGGCCTTCCCGATCCAGACGGCCCCAAGCTGGCCTCTAAGGAGGCCAAGGTGATCTCAAGGGGGCGGCGGTGATTCGCCGCAGGCGTCTCCAATAGATTGCAAAAGGGAGCTTACACCAAATGGGCTGTCCTCCACATCTTGCACTGGACATGTTGTGCGCCACGGCACGCACCATAACGCTTGCGTCACATGGATTGCAGCCGTTGCGTTGTACCATCTACATACACATATTCCCCAATCAGTGCTTGCACTGAAGGGGTCCTACCGGAAATTGGAAGATTTGGCAAAAGTGTCCCGCCGATTTTGGTGGTCGCCTGGGTTCCCGGGTTCCCAGTTCCAGGTTCCCGGGTTCCTGGTTATTGGTTCCGGGCCGATTTCGGTGGGTTCCATGTTCCCGGGTTCCCGGTCGATCTCCTTATCGATCAAACCATCCACTGATTGGGATTTTTCTCTGGTGTAATATGAATATGTATATATATACAGATATAACAGTACCACCTAGAGTGCACATCGAGAAACCAAAACCTCACTGTTATAGGGGTCCACGATGGCAAACGCCTTGCAGCGGAAACTGGGAACAGACGACTCCTCTTTGCCTCTCACGCCAGGGAGCCAGCGTGAATGTCTGCCTCCTGGGGGCGGGCCATGGCCTCACCCACGCCAGCCCAACCTACTGCTGAAACAATTGGAAAAAAACGATCCGGGCCGAACTTGCAGAGCCGCTGTGTGCCGCACATAGCATTAAGTCGGGCGTGTCCCCCTACAGGAGAATTTTGGACGAAAACTAATATTAGTCAAACAGATGCAACAAATTAAAAATAGTCAAAAAAAACAAAACAAAAAAAAAAAAAAAAAAAAAAGATCCCTGGCTACTTCATTATGTTTAAATATTCCTCCTGTAGTGGGACACGCCCGATTTAAATGTAGCAGGTGGCATCGACGCCTCCCATACCAGCGGCAGGCTCCGTTGACAGAGAACAAGCCCGACACATCCTGTCATCATCCTCCCACGCCGACAATGGCGACCGACAACGACAAACAAGAGACCGACGACAACGACAACCGACAAAGGCCGACGACGACCGACGACGACGACGATCGACCCCTCCTCACGGCCAGTAAGCTGGCGCCGCGCGGACGTCAGGTCGTGAGTGGGGCTGCGAGTGCCTAGCAGGTCGTCGGGCACGCCAGAGGGGAGAAGACACCGACATTCGCTGGCAAGGTCGTAGTCCTCCTCCTCCTCCTGCATAGATTCCTTCACCCCCTCCGCACGGCCAGCAAAACGGTCACGCGCGGGCTTCAGATGGGGGGCACGGCTGCGGGTGCACAGCCGATCAGCGTCTACCGCGGGGGAGGAGCCCTTCTTCGAGACCTGCCGGCTGTAGCATGGCTTTCTCGTGGCCCCAGTCGCGGTAGAGCAGCTGGTGGTGCAGGTTCCTTTCACTGACGCACCTGTTCAGACTGTCGAGCAGCACGCGAAGGGCAAGTGGAGGCAGAATAATCAGGCAAGTCAGAGCGTCCTTCGCCATGCGGTGCGCACACACCCACGCTTCCAGCAAGGCCCTCGCCACCTGCGGCCAGCTCGTGAAGGCTGGCGAGCGGAGCGTACCCTCCCCGACCATGGTCATGGCAGAGAGCAGGATCATCTTGAGCACCAAACCCGCCAGCAGCGCCTTCCTCCACTTGACGGTGTGAAGGTCCCAGAGCGTCCAGTACGACTCGCAGCAGTCCGCGAGCACCACGGCGCACGCGAGGACGGCCAGCGGGCAGTGGCCGAGAAAGCCGGCGTCCATCAGGGCGCTCCTCCTGCCGTCGTTCTCGGCGTCCGCGGTGGGACGGAGCGGGCCACCGCGGAAGTAGCAGATGAGGACCGCGACGACGCAGCAGATGGAGGAGCCGCAGATGGGCGGCAGCAGGGCGTAGACGTACAGCCGCTCGATCCCCGAGCCCTCGTCGTCGGCGAGCGAGGGGGGGGGAAGCGGGAGGCGGAAGGCCCTCTCAAAGGCGGCGGGATTCCTCGGAAGCCCTCGCGCCTTCTGAGAAGTCTTGTGTGTCTTCGGGGACGGCTGGGGAAGCTTCTCAGAAGGCCGGGGGACTTCCGAGCCTTCTGAGAAGGCCCGCCCCTCCTTACTTCCCCTCCGGGCTCGCCGCCGACCTCGGAGAAGAGAGTGGAAAGCACGTCCACCTTTACTGCGACACTCAGGTACCAACTGGCGACGGCGAAGGCAAACAAGACGAAGCCGATGTCCCAAATCATGATGTAAAGCCTGTACGATTTGCGGCCAGGTTTGACCCGTTCCTTCCAGTACCACTCGAGCCACTCAACGCCACCCTTGTCGAAGAAGAATTTCTTCAGGTCTTTCAAATCGGTTTTGAAATCCTGCTTTTTCCTGTCCGTCGGAACTGGCACGGGTTGAGCATCGGAGCAGGGTGCCCAGTCTTGGTCCCACCGGAACTGATACGGGTTGAACACGTATGGTGCCCACAGCCATGAAATGATAACCAGGCCGCAGCAAAAGAAGATCCAGAACAGCCGCGAGGAAAGGTAGCTCCAGACAACACCCGAAAAAGACGTATGAGAAGAATACTCGCTGCTTGGGATGCCCTCAGCTTGCCAGACGAGGATGAGCCCGACCAAGAGCATAGCCCCGTCGTAGTGCGCGATGGCGGAGTAGTCGTGGAACAGGCCAACAAACTCCCTCTTCCCCCATACGTCCGTCTCCTTTTTCAAGCCTATGAACGGAACCCGCTGGGTGGGAAGCCCGCGTCCAGTGGCCGAGTACGTCGCGCCCCCGTAGCGGCACTCGTTCATGATGTAGTGGCCGATGCACTTCGACTGGAAGACGAAGAGGAGCGGCGATGCCGTCCTGTAGCTCGTGAGCAGCTTGCAAAAGAAGAAGCATCTGCACAACACGCGTGAGTGTTCTGAGCTCCGCGCAGGTGTCTTGGATCGGCGCTGGGCCCCCTCCCCGGCGCGCTCTGCGCGCCGGGGCCGGCGCCGGAGGCGCCGCCTCGAGGATCCGAGGACCGATCCAAGAAATCCGCGCGGCGCTCCGAATGCGCACGCCCGTGCAGAGGTTTCCGGTTCGAGCTTGCCAAGGGTGAAGGCGACGCCCCGCTGCATGGACGACTCGGCGATCCACGGGAGGGAGGACACGAGCAAGAACAGGACCAGGGTCCGAGAGCAGAGCGCCGACAGTAGGGGGATCATGGCCTCTGCGGTGGACGTCTTTACTGCCACGCAGACCTCGCCCTCGCATCCAGACAGGAGCACCAGCAGCCAGACGAACACAATCACGGGCATAGCCCATGATATCATAAACTGAATAAGGTAATAACCGGCGTGCGCGTAGTAGAAGCAGAGGGCTTCTGGTAGCTCCAACACCTGCTCGAGACGGAAAGTCTGTCGCGTCAGGATCTGCTCGCCGGTGCCCGAAGACAATTTCGAGAAGAACGTCAGCACGGCGGCAAAACCCATGTCCCGGCCCTTGGCGAAAGCCATGTACTCGCAGTGCTTGATCCGGCGGCCTCCCCCGCGCAGAGTGAAGTCCATGCCCGCGAAGATGTCCTCCGAGAGGTGCAGCGTCTTCGTCGCCTTGGAGACGCCTCCCTGCTGCATCATGTACAGCTTGTTCATAATGTCGGGGTGCCCGTAGTGCATGCGGGCACCCAAGACATTGTACGCGCGCTGCAGGATGGTGCCAAAAGCCTGCTCCGCCGAGGCCGCGAAGTCTCCCACCGAGCCAATATCACTGGTGATCTGCTCTGGGAACCCCAAGATCTTCTTGCTAGCATCTGGGTCGTCCCTTGTCCTGCGGAACTCCCCAAGCGCAC